GACCCACGCGAAACTCATTCGTCGGACGCTGCCTCTAAAGTTAAAGCCTGCTCTACTGAATGGTAGTTGATGCTACGGAGAAGACTTGTGGGAAGGGAGTTATTAACAATAAAAAATTGTGTACTTACTTTTGAGACTCTGTATATTCATGACATCGTTATCTTTGTTGTTACTGCCAGAAAAGTTCGTTAGTTTTTCTATATGAATATGAATATGCGTCTATCTTTTGGCAGACTAAATATATTCTTGTCCTCTGCAGCCGATTTTCATGCAAATAATACTCTTCATGTTTAGTTGCACCAAACCACGCCTACCAGTCAAGATCTCACTAGTGATGATAGGATGAATGTCAATCCTAATCTGCTCGATTCGCTGAAAACGGACGGTTTTAACCAAATGTGCAGAGCAACAACTTCGGGTCTCCTTCCGTTCTCTGCCAATAATAGCGGCCTCTTTCCCACTCGGAATATGAATGAATCCATCCTTTCTTCCTCATTGGGAACACATTCGAGCGAGTCGTACGATCCTATTTTTCAAATGTCGAGCATAGAATCGGAGAGACGACCTTTTGACATCGTAGCGCGGAGTGAAGGAGTACGTCCAGACTGCCAGGTAAGGTTTGCTTGCGAGGGTTCCTTATAACTTCTAACTTTGGCTTTTTAGGCAAATAGTTTCGATCATACCATAAACCAAACGCCCATTATGTCCATGAATGATGGCGCAAGGGCGATGGAGAATTGCGTACCTCCGGATCTCTCTAATGTAATACTTAGTATCACTTTGATTCGCTAATATTTTTGAGTTTTTTTTTGCAGATTTATGCATCCGTTGAAGCTTTGGATATTCCGAATGTATCCACTGATAATGGTATGGTTGATATGAACGGAGCGCTAGACCAAAATCATGTGGATGCAGATCCTACCGCTTTTGAACAAGGGGTAGAAAAGCTAGAAACTGAAACCGATGATCGTTTCCTGAATTGGCTCTATGTAAGTACATTATCCTTTCTCTTTTTTGTCAGAGTTTATCCTCTACTATTTCGAGCTATCATGCTATTCAATGAAATTTAGTGTGAAAATGAGCATGCTGAGGATGACAATGCTGAATATACCCGTGTACTGGAAGAGATAGAGAGAGATGCATGTTATCCCGTCAAAGTTGAAAGCGACAATCAAGGGCCTGACTTCAATATGGCTGGTGGCCCATCGTCAAATTTTGCGGATGGATATCGCAAAGTTGAATTGGATCCTTCTCATCCGTTATCGTCGGACTGCGTCGTAGGAGAGTATGCTTCGCTTCCACCAACAATGCCACCACGGGAACCTGTACCTGAGGTAAAATTTCCTTTCTTTGTAAAATTTTCCCTTTTTTCCAAATAGGCTGGGTAAATGAAGTCTTCTCTTTAGGGTTACATTATGAGTGACTATGAATCCGATCTCGACCTTGATATGTTGCCAATTGGTGAGGATGAGGAGACCATGTATGGACGACTTTTAGATGTTCTTGTGAGGGATATAAAGCTGCTGACTTATGTAAGTACATATTGCATAGAAAATTTGCTCATTTCGGTATCATTATTCCCTTCTGTTTATATGAATAAATTCATGCATTTAAAATAGCTACGCGGAATGTGTTCAATATTTGCTGTCAGTTTGATGGTTCTAAAGAATTTCTTATATACTTGTGAGCGACAAGTTATTGTCGTAAAAGTTCATCACACAATTTCTATGAAATTGCACAAATTCGCTTATGTCGTAGCGTGACTGGTGTTTTATCTCTCATCAGTATCCGTTAGTGCCTTGACATCAGAGTTTCTAGTTTTTCTCGCTTTTAAGGCTTAAAGTGACGGGTATTATGGTAAACCGCTGGAAAATACACTCAGTAACTTTTTTT